CTGAGGAAACTCCCCTGAAGCCAATGCAGTAGATCAGAAAGTACCCTTACCAACTTGAGGATTCTGGTAGGCAATTGCTTTGTCAACTTTTAACTGTGGCTGAAGGTCAGCTACTTCCCATGGTCTGAACTCTGGTGCTGTGGTGACATTAAGGAGGTACTCCATAACTGTATCACTAGATTAAAAAGTTACGAAGGCATTAAACACAACAGAAGTAGCACACATTTCTTTTGAAGTTGAAAGCAAGTTAAACTAATCTGTAAGCAACATATTAACACCAAAATGTATCACTCGAGCCAGAGTAGTTCCTAGCACTGCCCTACAGAGTGCCAAAATTCTACTTCAGTTCTGCAGTATTCATATACTCAATAATGTGATACAGAAACTGAATTATTAATACAGTAGTTAGATTTACTAGACAAATGCAAAAATACATATTACTCCTACCCTGTAAAATGGTCTCTACCACACAGCAGTTTGCAAAGCATGCAACGCCATTTACAGCATGCCATTTACAGCATATCTAGATACCTACACGTAGTCACGTGGGCATTCAATACAGTAAGCCATCTTCTCTCTTGTTGAGTACACGCTAAATGAGAAAAAATACAAACCCCATTTCAGCAGAGAACACAGAAGTGGTTTTTCACACATATTCCTCTCCTCACTATCTAGTTAACCTTAAATCTGCTTGACATGACCATTTAAAATGAGTGATAATACAAACACAGCAAAACCAGACATAACTAGAACTCCCATCCTAAGTACTGTAGTAATAACAAGTGTCTTGTGAGCATCAGAATTTAAAATACAATGCTAATTCAAGGTAAAACAACAAATTTGAATAAAAAAACTTGAAGACAAATGTGTGTATTTATTAAACAAGGCAACTTCAAAATTATTCTCTTTGGGCAGAAAATTCCCCACTTGCTTCAACACATCTGTGACTAATAGGAACATGTATTCCTATATATGGAAGAAATATATTCCTACATATGCAAGAAAGCAGGCACAGCAAGATCCCTCTTTTATTTCTCTTAGGCTTGTTTTCTAGGCTTTAAACTCTCAAACAATGAAAGCCAACTACTGTCTGAATTGTTCCCAGAACTGCAGTGTGATGAGTGGTACCTATTCACAAAAGATAGTAGAAAAGAAAATAATCTAGTGACTTCACAAAGTTTAATCTTGAAGCCTGAAAAAGCAGAAAGAACATTAAGCTTTCTGGACAAATTATGTTTCTTCCAGGTACACAACATTTGTTTTGTTAACTGAAAGGTGTTTTAAAAATACAAATCATGGGTACACTTCTGCACCTTCACTGAACAAGTACAGAAGATGTTCCTTGTCAACATTCACCAATCAAGTGGCATTGCCACACTGAGCTTATCTGCCTCTGTATTGTTGTGCTTATTGTTATAAGTTTCCTTTAATCATGTAGCTTGCTTGCATGTCACCAAAACAGATCCTTTGGGGTTACGAACCTCAGACTGCCCCCAACTGCTTCAATGCCACGAGTAATCCGGAAAGAAGATACTCCTTTAGTAGTCTATTAAAGGAATTAAAAAAAAAAAAGCAACTTAGAATTCCAGCTATTTTAAGAACAGACTTGCCCAACATTGTTCAGTGCTCAAGCAACGCTGAAACAGTATCTGTTTATTCATTTATACAAAGCCATTCTGAGCCAGCTTATTGCATTCCTACTCCCAATCATTTCTATCATCCTCCCAATTTTCCAGTTTAATTGATCACATGTTTGCTCCCCAGCCCCATATTAGAATGATCCAGGTTTGCCTGAACATTTATTAGGATTCTTTGAATTAGATAAACTTGACAAGACCAGGGCAAGAATACCTACACATGCTATTATACTGACGGCTGTCTGAGGGAAGTTCAGGCAGCAGCTCCGAAGGGTAATAAGCAGCTGGGATGGGCAATAAGCAGCTGGGATGTTCTTTTTTTCTGCCTGAAGCTGATGTGGATTGAACTCATGCAACAGCAGTCACAGACTTGTCAGTGGTGCTGTGTAGCATTAACTGTCACAGTCTGGCTGTTTACATCTACACCCACAGCCAGACAGCAACTGAGATGAACAGGAACAAAGGGAAGGGTGGCCACAGTGGATCAAGCTGTAGGATGGCTTGCCCAGCCTTCTGTACTTGCCCAACCTTCTGTACAGCGGCAATGGAAGAGGCTGTTTAAATGTAACATACCACAACCTGCTCAGTGGTATTCCTGCAGTATCTGCAGGAGTTGCTCCTATTAGCAATTTGACAAGTTCTTTTTTTTGAACCTACTGTATCTTCCTCCAGAGCATCTTGTATAAATGAAGCCACTTGGAGAGCATAATTCTAAATTAAGCATCACATCCTATCTTCCAGAAAGTAATGTCATTTCTCCTGCACTTGAACCAGGTAACCAAAAAACCAATGTACATTGTTTTCCACTTTATAAGATCTCTTACACTAAATTTTACTGTATCCTTTACTTTTCCATCATAAACTTTTCACCATTTCATCTATTGCCAACGTAATAACAAAGTGAACAAACACCTACCATATTCGGTCCAATACGAAGCAAGTGAGCAGTTCCCAAGTTACTAGTGGTTTCATATCTGCTGCCTGCTTTAATAAACACACCAATTCTTGAAACTGGAGAAAAGTTTTCTAGAGAGGCAATAACTAAGCCATTTGGTAATTTTGTGATCTGTATTAAACAGAAAAACATTTGGTTTAGTTACACACTAGAAATACTGTCACACCTCTACTCTGACTTTTACAAAATAAAAAGGAGACAGAAAAAAAAATACCTGCATTCATACTGACCTCAAGATTCTCAGACTCTCGAGATAATTTCACTCGTTCTGCAGGTTTCGAGATTGAAATTTTAGGGGCTACCTTAAGTGAATAAAATCTCTTCTAGAGGAGAAAGCATAAGAAAATGGATTTCCTCAATTAGTTCATTGCACATTCCATTACATACTGAAGAAGCAACTAATTCTGAAGTAGAAATACAATCAATAACTTCAAGTCCCAGAGTAAAACCAGTGATTCCCTTGTAATTCTTCTGACTGTTTTTTTTAAATCACTGCTAGAACCTGGGGAATGACTTACATGAGGTCTCTGGACCTTGGTGCTATTCTCAAGAATCAGCATTGTTAAGAAAGCTTTTCCCACCCTCCCTTTCTTTGCTGTTGTGCAGTGGGTATCTCTACTGATACTGTATAGTCTGTAGGATCACTGTGTAGCAATTAACTCAAAAAAAAAGCCACAGAATTCCACATACTCAGAACATAACTTTGGAGACAACTTTCCAACTTATTAGGTGTAGGCAGCTCAACTCCTAAAGAATTACCTCTCTCACCAACAGAACTACACTGACTGCTGCATACAAAAAGGATGTGTATGCAAGTCCCCAAACTGCAGAGCAATAACCAGAAACAGACCTTCAAACTGAGAAAATGAACACTGCAATTAGCTGGCAGCAGAAATAACAAGACTTTTAACTTCAAATCTGAAATGCTATTCCTTCTGCCCTTTCTGAAGTTTCTTATGATTATTAAAAAACCTACCAAATTTATTATTCTTCACATTAAAAAAAAAAAACCACACAAAAAAAAAACCTAACAACCAAAACCCAATTTAATTTTCATATATCTCTAAGCAAACCCTGAGTGACAGACACCCCACTGCAGTCAGTTGGAGGGATACCAATGACATAACTCCCCTCACTTTGCCACATACTCTGTTCAATGTATGAGTCCAGGAAAAAGTACTTTCTTCCCCAACCACAAATTTTAACCACTAAACCTACTTATTTATAAATTACTAACGTGAGTCTAGAATTGACTTGCAAACACACTATGACTCAGAGGTCATTCACCATCCTGCTTCCAGTGGAGACCTACACAAATCATACTCCAGCTGCCCGCGGGCTCCAGGAGATCCTTTGCAGCAGAACAAGCCCTCTGCCCCTTCCACGCCCCGGGAAGAGCCACTTGCCAAGGGCACCTTGCCTCAAACAGCGACAAGGGATCCTCCTCCTCTCTCCTGGCCACACAGGCAGCCCCGCATCGCCGGCCGGAAAGACCTCAGGGGAAGCCCCCAAGAAACCTGCCGCCGCTGCCGCAGCTCCCCGCCACAGCGCTGCGAGGAGGCCGCCCCGGGCCCGGCCCGCGGCCTGTTTGACCTTCAGCCTCACCGCCCCACTCCACCATCTGCCCATCCGGTTCGCCGCCGGCTTTGACCTCCCCTCTACGCCCCTCGCTGATAACCCCACAGCCGCTCACCCGCCGACCCCCAGCTCACCCCCAGCTCACCCCCAGCTCGCCCGCCCGGCTTGCCGCCCCGGAGCTGTCTGGGGTCAGGCCCAGCCAGGGCCACTGGGACCCAGGCAAGCGCTGTCAACTGACGTTATGCCTCTCGCCTGCTACACCCAAGGTGTCCAGGTCATCCTTACCGAGAGGGAACGTGCGACCACCGGGAATCCCTTCATCCTTCCGCGCCCCTCAGCTCAGCCCCGGCGAGAAGATGGCTGCCTGTAGGAGGACTCGACCTTCCCAGCACGCCCTGCGCCGCTTTGACTTTCTAGCGAGAGAAGGCATAAACTCTACTGCTCGCGCCGACAGTCACTCTGTGAGGGGAGAGCGACACCTCGCGGCTTCCGCGGCGTTTGCGCATGCGTAGAGTGCCACCGCCTCCAAGTCAGCGGGGCTGTCCCAGCCCTCAGGGTCCCCGTGGTGGCTCCGCGTTGCGGTGAACCGTAAATAAGCTACGGCCGGACCCTTCGCGGCGGTGTCTGATCGGGAGTGGAGACCGGCGGTGCCTGAGGGGGCGCGGGGCAGGAGCGCGCATCGCACTGCGGAGCGGCCCTCAACGGTTCTCAGCAGCGATTCCCGCCGTGCCCGTGAGGGCAGCGCTGCGCGGAGAGACGGAGGGCGTGGGGCGGTGCCGGCGGGGGCGGGTCCCCCGCCGGGTACATAGCGGCGGAGTTCGGCGACTGGCTGTGCGCGCTTTTGTGGTGTTAGTCTGGTGCTGGCTATGGGGTCTGCTCCGCCCGTGTTCATCGGCGCCGAGGAGGTGGAGAAGCATCTGCACCGCGCTAGCCTTCTGCTCCCGGCGCTGGAGGCCGCCTTGGCCAACTTCTCGTCTGGAGCTGCGGGAGGCGTCGCGCAGCCCGTGCGCACCGTGGTGCCGGTGCACCGGCACGGCGGGTGAGGCGGGCTGCGGGGTCACCTGCCTGGCACCAGGGTGGGAGCTGTGAGGGGTGGTCTGGCAGAGCCCGGAGTGGGACAGGACAGCGGGGGGTTGCTTTGTGCGTTCCTTCCAGAGCGAGAACGGGGGGAGCCGGGCTTGCGGTGGGGAAGGGACCGCGTAGAACAACTTTGAGCGTCAAGAAGGGTCATTGGTACCGAGTTACTGGTTAACTGTAAGATAAAGGTTCGATGTTAATTGCGCCGGTGTCTGTAGGTATGTACGTAATACGCGTGAATCTCTCCCAAGGTTCCTAGGAGTCATGCCTGCTTACAGTGCTGCTGACGATGCTCTGACAACCAAGTTGGTGACTTTCTACGAGCACAAGAAGGATTCCTCTGTCCCTTCACATCAAGCGACCATTCTCTTATTTGACCCAAGAAATGGTTCTTTAAAAGCTGTGAGTTTCACGGATACTTCTGAGTTCTTCTCTGTTAATGCCCTGTAGGTGCTTCCTTCTGATTCTTAGAAGGTGCACTTGATGTAAATTGGCCCGACTTTTCCTTAATTGTAAACAAAAATTTGTTTGTGCCAAATGAGGATTTAGCCTAAAGCCTTATTCTTTTATACCTGTTGAACTGTATTTTGCTATTTACTGCTGCCTGTGATTTGAAGGGAATCTGATGGCTCGCAGGATGATTGGAAGAGAGGCATGATCAGGAAAAGTTTCCTTGCATTTGAAAAGGAGAAAGAAACCTAAACCTTACTGAATAAAGAATTGATCTTGAATCATGTGAAGTCTAAATCACAAGACAGTTATTGTCATTACAAGGAATAATATTCAGTTTGATTTGTTTCTTTTTCTTTGCTTAAATAATTAAGATTTTTTTTAAGACTATTGACCATTTGTATTACAATTTAATCATAATTATTATTAAAGAACCAAAACTGGTCAAGAAAACTGTATTGGGCTTTTATTTCAAAACCGTGTTAGTTTAAGTCCTAGAATTCCTTTGTACACAAGTAGCTAATGTGTACTGAGGGAGGAGTGCCCCACTGTGTGTGGTACGTATTAAAGGAATTTTGTTGGTTCCGTTATCCGTTTATGCAGACCAAGAAAATGCAGGCTCATGAACCAGTTGCACTGGTCTCACTGGAGTGCAGAGTACTGCAGTTGTGTTATCTATTCCATGCGTTACAGGGCCAGGGAAGTGCAGTGCATGAAGAGTCGTGAGTTAGGGACGGCTCAGCTGTGACCTGTTTTCACTTCATTTGTACTGGTGGAATGACATGAAAGAACTGGAACAGACAGGGAATCTGCCTGGTTTAAATGTGAATGTATGTGGTTTCTGGTTGCTGTAATTGTACCTACCAACTTCTATGTTTTTTTATCTGTGTCCTGTAATATCACACAATTCACAAATTGGATGAAAATGTTTGGTATTTACTCTTGTTTTCAGTATTCATTTTGGAGTGTTTGAATTTATTTTTTATTTTTTTTAAGGTGATGGATGGTAGTGTCATAACAGCAAAACGAACAGCTGCAGTTTCTGCAATTGCTACCAAGGTATGCCTTCCAGTTGCTAAATTGAGACAGATTTAGTGGTGTTATATATACAATAAGTAGAAGGAGTGATGTAAAAGACATGTAAAAGTGTGTGAGTTTTCATCAAATACAGCTTTTAAATTGGATTTATCATAACATATGTATCTTCACGGAAAACTTAAAATTGGAATTTTCTGTTTTGAGCGAGTCGTGTATGGCTTTAACAGTGTGAGTGAAGAAGGAATCTGAGCTGTTATTCTGTGGCTTGTTCTGCACACTTCCCTGGGAATTTATGAAGCTGCCTTCCTCTCTAATTTTCTTGATTTTTGTGCTTGTCGTAATATGCTCCTTTATGGCTTTAGGTGTGTAGCTGTGGTGATAAATTCAGTTTTGTTCAGGTGTATGCTTCCTGCTGTTTGGCTAGGACAGGTGGGTTGCACTGGACCTGAAGAAAGAGGAAAAGACTACATTTCCAGGGTGCAATATAAGTACTCTTAAAATAGTGATGCCCAGGATAGATGGATGACTTGTCCAGAGGTGGCTGTCTTTCTCACTTTCTCTGTAGTCACTGGAAGATGTCCAGATGACTATCCCTGACTACAGTTGTAAACTTCAGTGTTTGAAGACAGGTGAGGTGTATGTTGCTTTACATTATTTCAATTTCAATTGGAAATAGTGGGGCTTGGATTCCTTTTTCAAGCTATATTTGTTTGGGCTGGTAATATGGGGGAGAGCAAGTAACTATCCATTGCACAGGAAGGTTTTAGTCTTAACCTCAAAGAATGAGGCATTATAAAGAGAGCCAGGGCTGAAAAATACTTGTTTTTTACCCATCTGGTTTGTGTCAGAATGAAGGCTGATCTCACCACTTTTTTAGTGGCAGTAGAGCCAAACTGACATAAAATTGAAGAACCTGTCCCAGAGACCTTCCCCTGAACCAAGGGATAGAACAATTTACAATGGGTTCCCTGGGCGGGAGGTTATAGGTCGTCATTCATCTCAGCTGTTCTGTACTTGGGCAGTTCTGAGAGTTTTTAACACACGCAAAGCTCTGCTGGCCTCAAAGGAGCTTGGCTGCTGAAGGATCTTTAAGAGCAGATCCTTTATTGTTGTCTGTTTTGGGAGATTTTCAGGAGCGTTTGAGTTTAGCTCGTAGTTGTCATCTTCTCCTTTTTATGGCATTTGCTTCTCAAAGACCCATGCTTTTATGCAAGAAACCTTTGAAATCGGTGCTCTAGAGTCTTTGAAAGGAACATTAAAAAAAAAAAAGGATCAATGAGGTTTTTTCAATTTATTTGCAGCAGAATAAGGGTTGAGAGCCTAGACAACTCCAAAGCTTTTTATACAGAAGTGAGTGGCCACAGCAAATGCATAAACAAAACACAATGATAGCTTAGGGCTGGACTCCAGCAGCCCTCTCTTCCCTGTTGCCGAATACTGGTGAATCGCAGGCAAGAGCTGAACCAGAAAACCAAAATCAGCTACAGAACTGAATTTTATTACTCATCCTTCAGAACCATCTCTCTTTTTACAATGCTTGGTGCATGCATATTACAGCTCTTTCAATGCCAAAATATGCTTGAGATGATTTATGACTTCAGTGAATTGAAAAAGGTGGTTTAGTGTGGGGCTACCAGGATCAGTTTATCCACACAGCTACCACTTTCAGTAAATAGCTTTTGGTATCATAAACCCTGTTTTCAGCCAGCACAGAACACCAGCACTATGGTTTTACACTGAATTGGTCACATAGGTATAGTATGTTGCAGTAATACTGGAGCATGCCAAGGTTGCAAAATTAGCATTGGCTTATGTTGTTGCATGTTAAGTCTGAATTTCAAGAGTCAGACAATTCAAACCCAGAATTAAATCAAGATTATGTTGGTGCTATTGACAACAGATTTTGCAGTTAAACAAAAGAAAAAATAGCGGTAATTAAATATGGTTTTCTCTTAATATGAATCAATATTAGCATTTGCGTACAGTCTTTTGAAGATAAAAGGACTAAGGATGCTGCTTCTGTGGCATTTTGGTATATATTTGATATCTGTTAATATATTGTCTTACTTTTTTTTTGTGTATTTGATACTCTTTAGCTGTTAATGCCACCTTTTGCAGAAGTGCTGTGCATTTTGGGAGCTGGTGTTCAAGCATACAGCCACTATGATATTTTCACAGAACTCTTCACATTTAAAGAGGTAATGACAACGTCTTAACAGTGTACATCTATTTCTCTCTATTGTGTTTCAGGAGCACTTTATATAAATAGAATACAGCCAATGAAGTTTTGTTGAGTCTGGCTGAGATGAAGTTATTTTCCCGTAGCAGTCCTCATAGTGCTCTGCTTTGTGTTGGTAGCTAGACAGGTGTTGATAACACACCAGTGTTTTGGCTACTGCTGAGTAGTGCTTGCACTCTCCAACATTCCCCCTTACCAGTACACTGGTGGGGGCCAAGATGTTGGGAGAGTACAGAGCCAGGACAGCTGAGCCAAACTGACCAAATGTATATTCTATACTATTTGATGTCTCAGTAAAAGCTGAGAGAAAGGGAAGTGGGGGGGAAGGAAGAGTTTGTTATTCAGACATTTGTCTTCTGGAGCAACCACTATGCATACTGAAGTCTTACTTTCCATGAAGTAGCTGGACATTGCCTGCTGATGGGAAGTAGAAAATAAATCTTTTGTTTTCCTTTGCTTTTCCTTTATTAAACCACCTTCATCTTGACCCACAAGTTTTGCTAATTTTCTTCTCCTTGGTGTCCTGCTGAGGTGCGGAATGATAAAGCAGCTTGGTGGCCATCTGGTGGTCAGCCGGTCAGCCAAAGTCAACCCACCCCAGAAGTTAAGAGAGTAATCATATTTTGACTCTTTTTCTATAGAACCCGAGAATACTCTGAAAAGCTGTAAAATTTCTTGCTCAAATGTTGGCCTTTAAAAAAAGCAGGGTGAAAGGAAATGGTTGGAAACAAAGTTGTTTCAGATGGCTTCTTGTCTTTGATAAAATCCTAGTGGATACGCTTTCTGTGGTTTGGTTTGTTTTTTTTTTTTTTCCTTAAATACGTTTATTGGAAATCTTTGTATTTTATAAATACAGTTCTACAAGGAGCTGTTATTCTGGCATCACTAACCAGTCACTCAAATGTAGGCACACACACCTGAAACTGTCACTTGTATGATGCAGTGCTCTGTTGATAGTTGGACTAGATCTTAGAGGTCTTTTCAAATATAAATGATTCTATGAGAACAGTAAAGGGGAAGAAAACCCCACCTTTAGGATATGTGTAACAATCAACTGAAAATATCCTGTTTCAGCAAGGAGAAGTTCTGTAAGCTAATCTGTTTGTTTCTTTTTTCCTTGAAGGTCAGAATATGGAATCGCACTAAAGAGAAGGCGGTGAAGTTTGCTAATTCAGTTAATGGTCCAGTGCAGGTCTGCTCTTCTGCTCAGGAGGCAGTTACTGGGGCTGATGTAATTGTAACAGTCACTATGGCAACAACACCAATCTTATTTAGAGACTGGGTAAAACCAGGTGCCCATATCAATGGTATGCTATGTTCTCATCATCTGAAGGATAGCATCATGAACTGTTCAAAAGCTTTTCAGAATGAATGTGCTTTCCATTTTGACTTTCCCTTTTGGCAAGGACCACTTTTCCCAGGTCTGCTTTCCTTCTTGTCTGGAGTCACAACTCCAGCATATTCCAGCACTGGATGTTTGCTAGAGCATTGGGTATGTTTTTTTCCCAGTGATGCATCATCTTTGACACCATGTTGTCATTTGATGCTCACTTTGCTCGCCATTTAAATAATCCATACAAACATGTTATTTCCAAAGTGATTCCTGCTCATTGTAATGTTTCTCTGGAAACTCACCTTCTCAACCAGTTTTGTAAGCTCCTCTGTTCCTTTTGGGGCTGATCACACTGATTTACTTTTTTTTTTACTTGAGTTAAAAAGATGCAATAACTGAGTTAAGAACTTCATCATTTAACCACTAATTATTTTGAGGGTTTGGGGCTTACTTTTCCCTGCCTTGCAGTGATGTTGCCACACTTGTTTTGAGTCTCCGGACATGCCCATGTTCTTTTAATTGCGGGCCTGGTTGAGATGACCCTGTGTACTTTCCAGATAGCATGGTAGTAAGACAAAAGGAACTTGTCAGAGGGAACAATTTAAAGCAATGTCCCACATTCCAGCAGCATCCTACTAATTTTTCAAACTCAATTCAGTTCTTTGTCATTGAGTGTTGTTCGTGTTATGTCATGAAAAGGAAGCCAGAAGTACAAGCAAAATCCATTAAGGTTTACAATCACTGAGGCAATGCATGCACAAAGACCCCCTCTCCTTCCCTTGCTTTCTTTTTTTTTCTCTGTTGTGGCATTTGTGCTGTTTGAGGAGGCATTCAGGCAACATGGAATTTATTATTCCATAACAGACATTATTAAAAACCATTTAACTACAGTATAGCTGGGTGGGTTTGGGTTTTTTAGCCAAGAAGTTGATAGTGGTCTTGCTGTATTTAAAAAGTTAAGCTCCTTGATTTTTCAGTTTCTCCAGATAAGTGAAAATCCACAATCTGCTCAATTTGTACTGCTTATAAGCTTACAGGGGATTAATAGAAGATTATAGGTTTAAAAATCCAAATTAGTAACACTGAACTCTGTCTGCTTGTGTGAGCCTTTGTTGCACAATACTTTTGATTCTTATCTGTTCAGGATAATGAAGGGATTCTTCAAATTTTATTTTTCTGTATAGACACATAACAAACCCAATCTGAATCAAAGGGCTATAAAAATCTCTTGGTAATGATCTGATGGAAGACAAGAGTGCTAGAGATAAAGGGCGATTACTTTCTTGTGTCTCAACTACCCAGAGTCTGCTGACAAATCAGATATTGAATGTTTTTAGAGGTGCTGTACTAGATGCTAGTTTATTTAAAAATGAAAAGCAACAGAAACCTGTTAATTTAACAGTCACAGAAACAGGTTGCTGTTTGTCTGCACAAGAGTTGTTTGTATAATTCTTAAGATTATCTTGTGTGACCAAATGGTCCAAGTTTATTCTAAAGGGGCCTCTGTAAGCAGAAGAGAGTAATTGTCACACTTAATCACTGGTATTGTTTTTCAGAGCTGCTAGCAAAGGCTTGTTTGTTTCATACCTATGCATGGTTACACATATTCTTACTTTTTTTTTGTGTAATTATGGGATGATGAAGTGATGAATGGTTAAGCAGTACTGCTTCCCCTTCTCGGTCAGCATTATCTGGAAGGAGCAGTTTGATCAGTGTGCAAAAGAGGTGGAAACAGTGGCAGTAAAGAATCTCACCGCTGCTTACTGGAGAGTTGCAGTGTAATGCCTCAGCGGGTTGAAATGTGAAGGCCAGTTGATTCCAGTTGTTCTAGCTGTGCTTATGGGAAATACAAGGTTTTGTTGGAGCAGCGTCTGCATGGCTAAAATCCAGGGTGCTGTACGTCTTAATGAGCTGTAGTTCGTAGGGTTTCACACAATGTTATCCTTTGTTGATATCACTGGAAATATAAGGGTTAACACCTTATAGAAACAGGCCATACATATGTCAGCATTACAGCTGAGAACAGGTTGAGAGAAATCCAGGCCTTTTCCTAGTTGCTTGGGGATATCATAGTTTTTTTTTGTTGTTTTATCAATCAGCATGTCTACAGTGCTAACATCAGACTGTATTACATTTCCACAATAACGTCCATTGTTAATTCACCCTTTTTTTTTGGACAAAATATTGTTTAAATGTGTTTTAAACATTCCTCCTGAGTTCATCAGTTTTGTTGTCTTAGCTATTGGAGCAAGCAGACCAGACTGGAGAGAACTGGACGATGAATTGATGAAGAATTCTGTTCTGTTTGTGGATTCCAGAGATGCTGCTCTTACAGAATCAGGAGATGTTATATTATCAGGGGTAAGACTTACTTTTTGTTGGCAATTGGCTTGTGTTCAAAATGAATTGGTACTGATGATGTGCTGCACTAAAACTCTTTAGAGCATTAGATAGAGTTGTTAACACTTTCGAGGCACAAATGGAAAGAAAAATTGATTTCAGTCTGAGACTTCTGTATGTCTGTGCCAAAGCAATGCAAGTTCTGTATCAACCATTACATGATACCATATTAAAGTACCATATACCAGCATTGGACTTTGTGTACAATAACAATGTATTTTTGAAACCCCAACATTTCTGCAATGTTTGGTGTTTATGTTCAATATTTTTCAGATCTGTTTATTAAAATCTGTAACTTTCTTCCCATGAGATGTCAGTGATGACTCGCATCAGGCCTCTAGAGAATGGATGACAGAAACCAAGCAGGCAGTTAGTGATAGAGCTAAGGAGGTGATCCTGCCACTCTACTCTGCTCTTGTGAGACCTCATCTGGAGTATTGTGTGCAGTTCTGGTGTCCTCAACAGAAAAAGGACATGGAACTGTTGGAACAAGTCCAGAGGAGGGCCATGAGGATGATCAGGGGACTGGAGCACCTCCTGTATGAAGACAGGCTGAGAAAGTTGGGGCTGTTCAGCCTGGAGAAGAGAAGGCTGTGTGGAGATCTCATAGCAGCCTTCCAGTATCTGAAGGGGCCTATAGGGATGCTGTGGAGGGACTCTTCATTAAGGACTGTAGTGATAGGACAAAGGATAACGGGTTAAAACTTAAACAGGGAAGTTTAGATTGGATGTAAAGAAGAAGTTCTTTACTGTAAGGGTGGTGAGGCACTGGAATGGGCTCCCCAAGGAAGTTGTGAATGCTCCATCCCTGGGGGTGTTCAAGGCCAGGTTGGACAGAGCCTTGGGTGACACAGTTTAGTGTGAAGTGTCCCTGCCCATGGCAGGGGTTGGAACTAGATGATCTTAAGGTCCTTTCCAACCCTAACTATTCTATGATTCTATGACCTGAAGAAATTTGACAGCAGGGACTCTCTTAGGTTTAATGGCGTTTTATTTCTCTTTTTTAATGCTTTTGGTAGAATAAATATGACTTTCATTTCTGAGGTTTAACATAAGAGGTCCAGGTATGGTAAGCTGTGTGGAATCCTGTGTGTTTTGTTGGATAAGCAACAAGCTATCTTCTGTGAAAAATAATACCCCCTGCTGAGGATAGTCTGCCAGCTGCTCCTGTCTGAAAACCATTCTCCTGATTTCTGCATAATTTCAGTATTTGTCTGAATACTGATCTGCTTCACCATGGAAAGGAATTTGTTCTGGGGTAGCAGAACTGAAGGAGTCACTTCTTATGAAGTGACTTACAAGAAAGTTTGTCTCTGAATGTATGCTTTTGTATAAATATGTATTTCTTTTCACAGGCAGAGATTTTTGCTGAGCTGGGAGAGGTAGTGAAGGGTACAAAACCAGCCCTGCCTGAGAAAACAACAGTGTTTAAATCACTCGGTAAGGACAACCCCTTCTGTGTACAAGTCTGACAGAAAACAATGCTCTATTATTTATTAGGGCCCCCATGTGTGGGAAAGCTGCTGATCATCTTCAAAGCTGCTATGGCAGTGCACTGTCCTAAAAACTAGAATGTGATTTACATTTTTCCTTTTCTATTTCCCTCTTTATTTGTCTAGCAGGACTGATGTAATTAAAAGTGATTGGAAAGCAAGCAAACAATAAGAAGTAGTACATTTTCTACTTCATAGTAATTGAACACATGACTGTAGCATTTGTTAATACAACTCCAACCCAGTCCTTAATTGTTGTGCCCATGGAACCTGTCTGACCTACCGACAATGTGACAGTGTGTTGTGGGGTTGGTGTTAATGTTTGGGAAAAGTGGGAGTCATAGTGGGTTACCACACTCTGAACTGCATAACATGTCTGAAAGCCCAAGTTGCAATATGAACATGGAAAACTGGATTCGTGCTATCACATTAGCTCCATATAGCATACCATGATAGCTATAAACTTTGAATATAATGCTGTAGGTGTCTGGGATGGGAAATGATTCCTATTCTTGTCCAATTAGATAACTTCCTGAGTCTTTCTGTTCCCTTTTGAAGCTATATTATTTGTACAGCTGAAGAACTGTTTGAAGGTGACTTCAATTCTCTTTCAGGGATAGCAGTTGAAGATACAGTAGCAGCAAAATTTGTTTATGACTCATGGTCTGCTGGTAACTAGAGAGAAGTCTACAGTCAGTGAGGCCAAGAAAATTGTTTGCACTTAGTTTCCTCAGAACTCATGTTAACAAGACAGACACCAACCCTATCTGCGTATGTCCCTTCTACAGCATTCAAGAATGCATGGTAAAATTTCAGCAATGGACTAATTCTTATAGTTTTCTAATGGTAAGTGTTAGTTACCTGCAGTATTGCTAATAAATATAACTTGCATAATGGCAAGTACTAGATGTTTGCAGGAATACTAACAAAGGTAACTATGTATTTTGGTATAATATTGGAATCAATGCCTTTCCTTCCTAATTATTTATGTAGCAGCAGTCTGTGGGTAGATTTTGTGGGTTTTTTAGAGAGGCAACTCATACTGGTGTAAAAGGTACCATCTGGAAGATGGACTCTGGCATCATATCTGCCAATGATTAAGGGCAACTGCGGGTTTCAGTGCTAGAGTGACAGTAACCTAGTTTTCAGTCTCCTAGAACACAGCCCACTTATGATTCCTGAGCCTCCTCTTCCTGTCAAGCTCAGACTGGGATCTGGAGGTTGCCATCCTTGCTTTCACCACCCACAGTCCCTCTCACCTGCCCTCCCCCTGTGTGGCTTTCCATTTAAAGACACACTCTTGAGTGGGACTTTACATAAATAATGATGTCTCCATACAGCTAGATTTCTGCCAGTTTTTCTAAAAGACCTGGCTCACTAAGGCTAGAGTGCAAAAAAAGTCAAAGCTAGTATTGTATAAATCTTACTTAACTGGAAGGAAACTGTACCCAGTGCCTCCCTTAGTGTATTCGAGTGGGATATTGCCATTTTAATACTGCAAGAAGTCACCAAAAATGTGAGCACTAAAATGTCTTTTGATTTAATTTTTATCTGTATTATATGGGGAGATTTTGTTATTAATCTGTGTTATTTCCAAGTTCTTTTTTCTAAGTTTCTTGAAGGCTGCAGCCATGCAAGCTGATTTCAGTAGGATAAATGTGAAGTATACAGGCAAATATTTTCAGCTTGGCTGTGTCATGCATCAACTGGTAATTGTTCTTTTATCCCAGTAGATATTAGCAGGGCAGGAATTTCCATGGTCTCTTTCCTGGCAGAAAAACCCTGTAATGTTCTACATAAGGAAAAGTTTCAGTTTTGTGCTGTTATACAATTGCCTTACAAACGACTGAGCACCTGCTGAAAACCAGTATTGCCCTGGAAACAAATTCCTGTCTTCAACTGGAGTCATGCCTTGTGAAATCATATTTCTACTTGTATATTACTTCATGCAGGATATCAAGTGTTTCTTTGTTTGTGTGAGGATTAGATGACATGATCATTAGATAACATGATCAATGGTGCCAGTAGAATACAGCAACAGGAAGGTTTAGAAGCAGTTAGCATTAACGCCCTTGATGGTGACAAGTAAGTGTAGAAGAGGTTGAGTACAGTGTAGATGTGATACAATACTCCAAATTATAAGCCTGGTGTAAACTGGTTGGAAAAAAGTAGTAAGTGTCTGAGTCTGTAATTTGCAGTTTTAGCATGGAAGGGTACCACACCAGCAAGTGAACAGGGCCAAGGGATGTGTTTGTATGGATAGAAACCTAACTCCACTGATCTTGTTCATATCAGCAGAAACAAGAACAGAAATTTCTATATCAGCTTTTGCATCTTTTAATTGTAGCAAAATTACCCCTGTATTTTTACATGTGTGTTTTCTTTGTCATTTCTGAAGTGATCAGAAGCATATGTGTTGGCTTAGCTTGTTATTCAGTGATAGATAACCTCACTAGCTTGAGACAAAAATGACAGCTGTCGGTGTTCCATAATTCAAGAAATGCATGGAAACTTGCACTCACTAATTATGACAATATTGTCAGGTTCTGTGCTTGTGTAAAACAAGATTGGTATTTGAAGTGACATGTGGTGTTTGGGGAAAAAAGTCCAGTTTAATACTTCTAATGACTGCTCTTTAAAAAGTAGATGGACTGAGTACAAAGGCCTGGATTTGAAAACCCACAGTGTTCTCAGCTTTCATTGACAATAGGAGGTTCTGGGAGCCTGGCTTCAGCATTGTACCTCTGAATTCCTGAAGAGTATTTGGTTCAGCTACAATGGGAATTGCTTGGAATGCTGTCTTCTGAATTTTTTTTTGGGAATCAATAGTCTTAGTTTCCATGTTTCCTTCTCTTACAAATTAGACTCTCAAGAATTGTGTAACTTTCATTTCTGTTAACATTAAATAGATACTTCTGGTTTTCTTTGTCTTCCATTTTGTTGTCTGTTGCTTTTCTGGTTTGGGGTTGGGTTTTTTTTTTGAAGATGAGGAAGGAAAGCATTGACATTCCTGCAGTGACTGCTGCCTCAGTAAACATGATCACTGAATGTAAAGGGGAAAAATAAATGGAGACTGCCCTGCTCCACTGTGATACTCAGTTTCTCAGTAATTGTCCCATATTGCATGTTCCCTCTTCTTGATGTCTGTCCAGTGCAGAGTATTAAATCCTTAAGGAAGGAAAATTCTGAATTTGGCAGGACTGTGCTGGCTTATGATTTGGGTGTGGATTGGGCTGTAAGATTAGGCGTGTGGTATGGAGAGCAGCCCTGAGGAGAAGGAGTTGGGGGTGTTGATTGATGAAAAGGTCAACATGAGCTGTGTGTGCTCGCAGCTCAGAAAGCCAACCATGTCCTGGGCTGCATCAAAAGGACCCTGGCCAGCAGGGTGAGGGAGGGGATTCTGTCCCTCTACTCTGCTCTTGTGAGATCTCACCTTCAGTCCTGACTCCAGCTCTGAGGCCCCCAACATAACAAGGATGTAGACCTGATCAAGTGAGTCTAGACAAGGCCACAACGATCCTCAGAGGGCTGGAATACATCTTCTATGAAGGCAGGCTGAAGGAGTTCAGCCTGTAGATGAAAAACTCCAGGAAGATCTTTTAACAGTATTCCAATACTTAAAGGGACTGACAAGAAATCTGGAGAGGGGATGTTTACCAAGGCAATCAATGATCAGAAAAGGGGTGATGGCTTTAAACTGAAAGAGTATAGGTTTAGATTAGATACTAGAAAGCTTCTTTATTGTGAGACTGGCACAGATTGCCTAGAGAAGTTGTGGCAAGTGTTCTAGTGGAGCAACGTGGTCTAGTGGAAGGTGTCCCTGCCTGTAGTAAAGAGTTGGAACTGAATGAGCTTTAAAGTCCCTTCCAACCCAAACCATTCTAGAACAAAAGTCTCTCCAACTAAACCGCACTATCCAGATGTTACTAAGGAGTTAGATCTAGGATTTGTTAATTTAAATACTTCCAAATTACAAAATAAACAAAGGGATTGGTGACAAAAAAGTAGAACATAACAAAGCACATTAGAGGAAAAAACTCTGAAATGTGAGTGTTCCTTTTTATCATTTCCCCACCACCACCCTAAATTTTTCCATGTGGCTGCTTTATGCCAGAGGCCCATTTCCACAATTAACTGCAGAAAAGGGCTAGCAGTATTGCTTATAAGTCTATATATATTCAGGTTGATTCCTTTGCCTAAAAATAAATATGCTGTGGGGTGCTCTGGGGCTGCGTCTTCAGTCTCTAGATGTGGTTCCAGAGTCTAAGGGATTTCTATATGTGTGGTATTTGCTAGCTCCATGCAGTTACTGTACATACATAGGGGCAGCAGGGGGTAGATTTGCAGAGTATGCAAGGAGGCAGATTTTTGGTGCATTTTAGAAATACTTGGGGCCTGATTCCTTGCCGCCCCCACTCCCCCCCAAGGTCTAATTACTCCAGGTGCCTTCTCTCGTCTACATTTGGCTGCCCTCAGTAACAGGCGCTTGTGTGGTTAGCAAGCTTTTTTGAAAGTGTTTCCTGCATAAATAGATCTAACCCAGTTATTTAAAATTTGCTCACCTCTGCACTAGTAAGAAGTCATTGCAGCAATATAGACCTAGTCTCAACCATGTATGTTAGGAGTGGTAGACTGCCTTGCTTTTTTACATCAGTCATGTGGCTGAGAATGGTAGGATTCGACCCTTCAAAATCCACTCATTGAATGCCTTCAAATATGTAAGATTCATCAGTTCCTTCTTGCTTTGTTAAACATTTGGGAGTTTCTTAGCCAAAAGGAGAACAACACAGCAGGTTAATAACACAGAGCGTGGGGGTGTGCTGTCTTGTTTAGTTACTGCACTGAGCACAGCAATTATTTAAGGTTGCACAGAACAGGACTGTGATGTGACTGCTTAACAGAAGAAAATACCAAGCTGCTGAAGTACAGGAATCCAAGGAGGAGAGAAGGTGGTATAAAGTCTAGCCAAGCAAATGAATTATAATATATAAATCAAGTAACAAGAAGATGTGGAAAAAAGGACTCTTGAAAAAATAGATCATTAACTAGAATTCATGTCCACAAATGCAGTACTTCCTAAGGAAAAGATCGTCACTGACTATAGAAAGCTGTATAAAGAGATTTAAAGAGAAATGTCCTGCTAATGAATGTGCATCTAAAATCTGTGATCTCAGCCATAGCATGGCTGCTGCAAACATCTTATTGGATTCACAAAACTCAATATGAATTATTAATTCATATCAAATAGCGCTGGTTTTCCAAGGCATTAGGCCTGAGAGAGATAAAGGGGACCCTGCTGTGAATGCCTCCAGTTAGACTGCAAAGGATAGAAGCACAGTCTCATTTTCTTTCTCTTTTCATGAGCTGAGTGAATGTGTACCCAGTTACATGCAGCTTTCAGGCTAAGGCTGGCAACATCCAACAGAAAATGCTGTTTGATAAGAATCTTGTTTTCTGGGACTTTACATGAAAAATGCACCCTATGGGAACCAAGCTGAGGATACACCAAAACAGATCAAAAATATTGAAAATAAAACCTCAGCTTCTTGTAGTTAAAAGTATTGCAGTCTTGAGACCATTTAGGACATGATGGGTACTGGCAGCTGGACCCAGTCTAAGAAGAGACAAGAATATACAGCTCTGACTGAACATCTCTTGGCAAGATGTTTCATGTGTTTTTAGATTAGAATCAATACAATAGCAAAACATGTCACTGACAAGAACATGAAATTTGCTGTAAATCGGTCTTATTTACATTAATTCAGATGTTATTTGAGTCAATAAACAAGATTCAGATCCTATTTCTAACATATCATCACTACTAGTAAGAGCAGTTTGTAAGAATCGAACAGAAGTGAATGGAGAAAACTCAAAGCTCTCCAGCTTTGAGAATGTTCTTTGCATTGTGGTTTTGGAGAAGGAAGGAAGGACTTTAATAAGGAATGTAGTGTGCCTGTCCTTCACTAATGTTTTATGTTATTCAGACCAAAAGGAATCCAATCCCCATAAACAGTTCCGGGAGAAAAAGCTTTGAATCTGTAGCTTTTAGGGTTTTATCTTCACATTCTTTCTTTTTGTCAGATTATGCTTGAATTAATATCCTGTTTATCACAGCCATCTGTCCAGAGAGAAAAATCTTTGTCCTTGCTGTACTTCCTAAAGCAATTGGTAACTTTTCTGCCTTTTGCTTTAGCAGACTTCTGAAAAGAATTGCATGCTCTTTGGAAAGAGGAAAAGATAATTAGTCAGGGTGCAGGCTACAGCAGCAGATATCTTAGTTTATAAGCAGGTGTCTACAGTCTTTCCAGGGGTCTTGAGTGCCTGTTTTCTTTTATTCACAGCATTCAGAACTTTCTTTCTTGGCCCAAGTTCCATCTGAATGCTCTGTAGATCCTCATCAGAACATAGCATCAGGGCATCTAAATCAATTTTTTCCCTCATGAAGACAGGAAGAAACTCATCCAGCATCTGTGATGCCAGAAATACCTCAAGGGGTGTGTTCTCTGCTTCCTCATCATCCCAAGTGACTTCTTCCTCATACCAAGGGATATCAGCACCATTTTCAACATCATCTTCCCTGCTGTTTTCAGCATTTTCAAACTGAAAGAGCTCACTGGACATTTTAAAGCTTGTATCTTCTTTTTCAGAAGATACAGTTCCAGGATTTACATCTGCAGCCAAATTCCTTCCAAACACAATCTTGCCAAGACCCGGCCGCTTAAAAATGGAGAGCTGACTGTCATTATCAGAAAAGCTTTTCTCTCCAAGCTCATTCAGTAATTCATCCTCTTCTTTCTCATCAAACAAATGCATCACCGTTCTCCTACCTGTACCATTCTCTTGTGCGTTGCTTTCCTGGCTTCTTGTGTTGTCATCTATCTTTTTTGCCTTCAGTTTGAAGGTATCTTTCAGATTTTTGGAGAAAGAATTTGTTGTAGTTGAAGTAAAGAGACTGGGCAACTTTACTCTGGAGTATGTCCCTCTGGAAGAGTTTACTGTGCCAACCTTTTCTTTCATATAATTCCTGTTCATTTCATGCTGGTGTTTCTCTTGGCGCTTCTCACATTCCTTGATTTGTTTCTCCACATTCCTCTGGGCCTGTGCTTTGAGCTTGGAGACCTTCTTTGGATTCAGCATGTTCTGCTCGGTGGCTGCTTTGTCCAGGATTTGGACACATTGTTTGTGGTCTCTGCTGGCAGCTGCCTCCAGGGGGGTGCGGAGATCATTGTCCAGAGCAAAGATATTGGCACCAAAGTTGATCAAAAAAGAAACACAAGAGATGTGACCATTGCAAGCAGCATGGTGGAGAGGTGTGTTCCCCCAGATGTCACATTTGTCCGGATCGCCTCTGAGGAGGAAAACAGCACAGAGTGAGCTGGATGTACCCAAGCATAGCACTACAGGGGGATTGAACAGATACTAAACATTTAGCTTTGCTTTGCTATGAGTACTACAGCCCAATGAAAATGAGTCAGCTTAGCTCCATCCTCTAGAACCACGCTGCACCTACTTAACGCAAGCACTGAGTTTAGCTGCATGTGTGGCATAAGCTCCAATTCCTGCCTCTGCAGCTCTGACTGCTTTGCTGCTGACAGCTCAAAATGGGCTCAGGCTTCTACTTACACTTGCTGGAATTAATGGCAAGACAGTTTCAATAGATTTTGTATGGAATATTTTAAAGACTTTTTAGTGACACTATCCTTCTGCATATCAAATGGAGGAACAATATTAGGAGGATTATTCACTGGCCACAGTGGTACATATGTAATGAGCCCATGGAGTAACTTTTTTGGTAGGTAATAGGTAAATGGTTAGGAGTAAAGCCCTGATTACACATTTGTCTCCATTGCTATTATATTAAGCTCAGATAGATGCTGTTGTTTTTCTTCAATTCTTTTATTCTCCTTAAGCTGCTTTTTGCTCATGGC